AGCCTGCTGTTGTCGGACTCTTCTTCGCGCGAGCAGACCTGGTCGAAGGGGAGAGATGTCAGTAAGAGCCGGTGGTGCAGGCTGGCGTGTGCGACGCAGTGGACATGGTAGGTTGGAATAGGTGGCTTGAGGCAAGGCAAGAGACTTTTCATGGATGCCTCTGCTTAGAGGCGCCATTGAGACCAGTCCTTGGTAGTTGTGCAGCATACGATGTGTCCGGGGAAGAGGGGCCTAAACATTGAGGCGGTGTTGGTGGTATAGGTGGAGGGGTAAGGCAGGAAGGACGGGAGGTATGTGCTTTGAAACGTAGAGCATCCGGGGCGAAAGCCCAAGCAAAAAGCAGACGACGTCAAGATACTCCAAGCTAAGGATGTGAGAGGACGAAATGGGCATGAGTTGTACATACGCGTGATGCGGGCAGCGAGTATGGCTCAAAGCCAAAGACGTTCATCCGGCGCTGCTGCAACGGTGCTCCTTGGAGGGACTTGGAAAGAGCTCTCAGCTGATCGGGGGTGACCTCTGAGAGAGAAGCGTCTCCGAGAGCGGCATCGATGGGCGACTGGGTGTCGGTTGGTGATGTCGTGGTGACGGTAGGCGTGATCTCCTGGACGGAAGAAGCGAAGCGGACGGCGGGCGCATCCTGAGGGGGCATCTTGTCGTCTTTGTCGGCATCGGAGGAGGTATTGAGCGCGTTGGGTGTGATTTCTGGGCATTGCGACAAGCGCAGCGGTCAGCACGAGATTTCTTGGGCATGAGCTTGGGCTTTGGCTTTGAGCGAGGGTGGGCATGGGCATCTGTCTGTCTGTCTGTCTGTCTGTTGGGTGAAGAGTGAGAGGAGGATCGGCCGGACTGAGGTAGACTGCCTGGGCGCGCTCCTCCAAGGTGCTGCTATGCTGTGCTTTGCTTGCTGCGCTGGTACGGGTGCTGGTGCTGGTGCTGGTGCTGGTGCTGTGTGACTGTGACATGCGCAACAGATGAACCGAGGGCGGGGTTGCGCTCCGGAACAGACGGAAGGATAGGGCGTTTGTACCTGGGACTTTGATTTCCTCCTTCTGAGGATCGCGAGGTGGAGACGGGGCGGCCATGACCCCGACTGAAAGGATGAAGATAGTCTACTCGGGCGTGTCGTTTGGTAAAGGCTGGTGTTTGAGGCGGGGAGAGTTGAGGCAAGTGGGAAGAAATCAAACAAATTCACACACAAAGTCGGGCTTGGGAAAGAGAAAAGTACGGATACCCAGGGACACGACGGGCAGCGAGAGAGTGTGTGTGGATGCCGCCAATTGCGGATGGTGGGGCTCTGACTACAGCTAAAATGCACCGCATGGGTCACTTGTGACTTGTAGCAGTTGTGGTCGCAGTCGCATCCGCATCGCAGTCGCTGTGTAATACCAAGCCTTGTGAAGGTGAGCGAGTACTTGTGTGTAAGTACTTACTCTGCCGTGCTTGCCTGCCCAAAGGCTAAGTAAGCGTGTGCGAAAGTACCTACTTGCCTCAGGTAGGAAAGTCGGAGGTATGGAACAGGTCGGCATCGTGACTGGACCTTTTCTGCTGCATCAGATTCTCAAAAGGTACGGGTCCTTCTAGTTGCCCGTCAACCCGCGCCGCCAGTCAGAGAGCGACGGGAGGAGGTACCCGGTACTCCCAGTCCCATCACAGGCTGATGAGAAGGAAAAAGATACAAGCTGACTGGTCGGGGCCGGCGTCCCTTATCGGGGGAGGCGGTGGGCTGGATAAGACACCGTAACACCGGAATGGAGCCTTTTCGGCCTTCTTCTGGGCTTCTGGGTCGTGGAACCGCTGAAGACCACTGGGGGCAGGTCGGGAGTCGGCTTGGGGCCGCTTGGAAACTGCCTAGGAAACGGGAGCAATACTTGGCAGCCCCCCCAAATCATGGATGCATTGCGCGTATCTGCATCAGGACCCAGCCGCAAGGCCCTGCTGTTCTGCCCTGCTGCCCTGTCTTGCCCTGCCTGTTTGGAAGCCTTCCTGTCCCTGTGGTGATCGGAATGTTCGATGTTCTATTTTTTTTTCTCCAGAGGGCTTGTCCTTTTTCTCGGCTTTGCAGCCGTGACACATGCAGCAAGGTACTTGACCACTTTTACGAATCTCACAGGACCCCAAGACAAAATCGATATTGACAGCCGGGTCTTGGCTGTTTGCTGTTCGGTCCGTCCCACCCCATCAATGACTACAATGGATGGAAAGAATTTTCTCTTTCCTCGCCTCCAGCTTCCTTCCTCCTGGCATCCATGAATCACTCCCTCCCTCCAACGTAAACACCTATTAGGTATTGCCCGCCATCTTATTTGGCAATGCAAACCACTCCTTTGGACCGGGATGAACGAGTCAAGCTCAACAGCAAACAACCCAGACCAATCCAAACCCGTCGTCGCCCTCCCTCACAACAAACGAAAGAACGTGGATGCCAGATGCACGTCCCGTCTTCCCACCATTATCCCGTCATCCTTCGGCTTACACGAGCCGCGACGAAGCAGCTCTCTGTCAGCTCTCGGCTAACAGACGGGGTTCTGATGAAATGATTGACAGGAACAGACGGACCAAGACCTCCACAGGCCCGGTCAATCACTCACTCACTTCACCAGTACTTACATACCGAGACGTACCGCAGTACCGCCGCAACTCCGGTTCCAGCCCGACCCGGCGACGAGCCCAGCACTGTGGCGTAGGTGCTGATGTGTTGCAGCTAACTGCAGCATGAAAACAGCCATTGTTCCGTCACATGTGTCCGGCATCGAATCGGTTCCACCCTGGCGAAGCCTTGGAAGCCCTCTTGTGCAGCTGACAGGTCGATGTGATGCGATGGAACCGTTTGTCCAGGTACAGCGCCGCTTTCCAGGGGCAAGGTGGGCTTCGATGCAAGCAAGCCAGCAGGCAATCGACGCTGAACCTGGACGATTGCCTGGGCCTGGACCTCTCTCCTCGTCGCACCCAGCGGGGAAGCTGAGGATGGAACTCAATGCAAAGCTGGTTGCCTGCTTCGAAGCGCCGGTGCTGCACCGTTCGTTCCTCAAGGTAACTTAGGCCCTTACTCGCCTTACATAACCAAAAGCATGGGAACTCCCTCACACACTCATCGTAGGTAACGTCAGCACTACGCAGCTCAGCAGCCAGTACCTTGCAGCACATGACTTGGCTTTACCTCACACATCTGCATCTGAACCAACTCCCCAAATGTGATCTCGATTTGCACGAAGCTTCTGGCACTTAAACCCAAGATTCCCCACTGATGCGCTGGCAACCCGCTTGTATTCTCGTTCTGGACCTCTGATCGACCTTCTCACACTTCCAGGAGCTCGGCTCATGGAGAGTTCTCCCCTCTCGCCCCGTATTAGACTCTGGCCAATCCGACCTACACAGCTCACAGACCGTATTGTTGCAGCTTGAATTTCGTCATAGTCTATTCGACCTTCTGTCAAGCTTATTCCGAACCATCGGACACTCCGCTGGTCGTTTCGATTGCCCACGGACAGCTAACCAGCCCAGAGTCATTGGAGACATGCAAGAACGCGAGAACAGACTTCAGCTCTCCCAAGACGAGACACATGGTCGAAGTCAGTGCCTACTCGGAACTAAGCACGCACACACCAGAACCGCAGCCGCTTCCTGTCGCAATTGCCGCTAAACCACGCGACCAACGTCAGAAGCGTGGCAGCCATCTGCCACAATTTGGCCGTTGAAATTTCTCATTGCATCGTACAACATACAATCTTCCCTGTTACTATTCTACCCCGTCTCTCTCTGATATAATACAACAACACAGGCGCTCTTTTCTTGGTGAGGGAGATGGTATACAATTGGATGGTTTCCGCGCCTGACTCCGTTTTTGATGAGGGTATGTAACGTAGAAAATCGATTTGTCGAGGTTGTGGCCGAGAGTGATCACCCTATGGCACGACATTGAGGCCAATCGTCCTGCACTGGTAGATGATGGACCTGCAGTGAGATTCGAGGCTGAGGCCTGACAGGCGCGTCTCGGATTGCTTGATCTTGGCGATCTCGTACACGTGCTTCAAGCTGAGGGTGCCGACTGTCTCCTTGCCGGGGTTCGATGCGCCCTTCCTCTTCTTCTTGTTGCCAACTGGCACAATCGGCACCTCGGCGGCGTTCAGCAACAGCCACGACGTCTGCGGCGTTCGGATGTCGAAGTGGAATGAACGGTCGCCGCGAACCGTGACTCGGCAGGGCATCGGCGTGCCGACGATGAAATTTGCCGTCCTTGCATTGAACTCCTATATCGAAAGCCCCGTTAGCATTGATGTCTTCCAAGGCATGGTCGAACCGATGCCACCCTAAAAAGAACAGAGCACGGTTGTTGGGCAGCAGGTGGCCATGTGTTCGTCGCAGCATTGGGATCGAGGGATCGAGGGCGGGCAGCCTCACCTTGCAAAAGTCCATCGACTTCACACCCTTGCTACCCAGCGCAGGACCGACGGGGGGACTGGGACTCGCCTGGCCGGCGCCGACGATGAGCTTCACGACCTGGTCGGCCACGGCGGCTCCTCTCTTTGACATGATGGGCGGGTGTTGCAGGTGTTCTGACAGTCCGGGTAGAGGGGGAGGTGGCAGCTAAAGTACCGTATGCGCCTTGCAAAACAGCCTCACTCAATCGAATCCGATGCTGAATGTGATCGGAGATGGAAAATTTAGAAGCCTTATGCACTAGCCACCGCTAAACGTCCAAGCGACCGGGATGCTCGGGGAAGGAAAGCCCCACCCAGGCTCCCCTAGCCACAGTTTCACCGTCATTGGGTGGTGGGATGACCCCTCGGCCCCTCCGCCAGTTATTGTTTGGGGCGGTCAGCTCCAACTTCTACCTTTCTGAAGCGCCTGGTTTCCATTTTCTCCTTCTTAACAACTCAACGAGCAGCTAAGTTTTGGAGATCAAGTCTCTGCTGTCTCACCCAAGTCACCTATTCCGAATCGCACCTAATACTCTTACCCATTCGTTAACCCGACTTCTCCGGTCCGACACCGTCAACATGTTCAAGTGGGCGCAACAAAAGTACATACCAAGCCGCCCCCAACTCTTGCCCGTCCCAAACTGCCCCTGCTAACCTGCAATTCTTACAGGCTCGCCGATGTGGCGGGTACCCAAGAGCCCATCTACGGACCCTCAGCCATCAAGTCCGTCGCCGAGGAGGCCAAGGAGATCACCTTCACCGAGCTCACCAAGGACCATCTCAAATGGATTGCCGCCGACTCCACCTCGGTCGAGACCCAGAGCTTCTACCTGATGGGTGATGAAGGGCACATTGGAATGGCCCAGGTCATTTACAGCAACGTTGGGTATGTTGGCGCGCCGTTGCGCAACCGCGCGAGTGCGCACGCCCATCGTCGCCTCGACTATCTGCTAACCTCACCCGTCTGAACAGCGGCATCCGCACGACCTGCCAGTTCAACGTCAAGATCTGGTATCCCAACAACTCGAAGCCCATGCTCTGGGAGGCCACCCCCCTCAACCATTACGAGATTAGCGAAGATCGGTACTCCTTCTTCGCCGACGACTGCGCCGTCGAGCTGTCCGCGGACGGCACCTTCTACACCATCAAGAGCATGAACTCGGACAACGCTCTCGTCAACCTCAAGGTTACCCGCACCTCGCCCGGTTTCCACGCCGGCAAGACTGGCAAGACGCTGTTTGGCACCGACCTGTCTAAGCCCTGGGGCACCATGCGTCATGCCTTCTGGCCCCGTTGCGCCGTCGAGGGCACCATCACCACCAAGGCGGGCCCCGTCAACTTCACGGGCAGGGGTTTCTACGTGTACGCGCTGCAGGGTATGAAGCCTCACCACGCCGCCGCCAAGTGGAACTTTGTCGACTTCCAGGGCCCCAACTACTCGGCCGTCATGATGGAGTACACCACGCCGCCCTCGTACGGCTCAACGGTGGTTAGCGTTGGTGGCATCGCCAAGGACGGCGAGCTGATCTACGGCGGCGTCACGCAGACTGCCACACACACCAAGTCCAAGAGTGATAGCGTCAACGAGTGGCCCGAGCCCGAGGAGATCAAGTTCACCTGGTCCGGCAAGGACAAGGATGGCAAGGCAGTCGATGGCTCCATCGTGGGCGCCTTGGAGGAGAGACTCGACAGGGTGGACGTTCTGGCTGAGGTTCCTGGCTTCGTGAAGAAGATAGTAGCTGGAACGGCGGGCACCAAGCCATATATCTACCAAGTAAGTTCACGTAGACTCAAGCAGTCGAGTCACTAGCTAACGGCCTGCCAGTTCTGCCCGACAAAGAACAAGCTTTCCTTGAAGCTTAAGATCGGAGACCAAGAGATCTCCGAGGAAGGACTTTGCTACTGCGAGTCCACCTTCATTTCTGAATGAGAATACCATAGACCTTGACTAATTGGGGCTCCTTGGGTAAATATGGCCCGGTGCGGTTTGGCGTTCAGATGGGGCTCAGGTCACTCGTTCCTGCTTGGTTATTATTCATAAGACTGTTCTAATACAATACATTCTTCGCCTTGTACGCTTGGCTCAATACGTGATACACTCGATACGATAGTGCTTCCTCCTCGTCTTTGCTCCTGCCAAGACCAAGACCCGTGGCACCTGCCTGGAGCTCTAGGTTCTGATGAAACATGACGCAACGCAACTGCTTGTCTTGGATGCACAGTGTGCAGTCGATACTCTGCATATATACACTGTTTTCAAGCAGGGGGTTCAGTCGCCGATAAGGTTGATAAGACACTAGAACGCGCCTGCAGCTGCTGGGGGCCTGGGCACCCCGCGCTAGCAGGTGCAAGCCACGGCAGTCGCGACGGCCGGGGGGCATATCTAAACAACCAACTTCCTTGTCGTCGCCCTTTCTTGTTACCAAACTCACAAACAACACCTCACAGGCTTCCTACTCTCAATCTTATCCAGACCACAATCCATCGACGACCCTCGTTAGCTACGTCTTGAAGATCACTTTGCGACAATGCCGCCAATGCCGGCGTCCCGCGGGGGCCCTGGCGGTGGAAAAAAGGGTACGGGAAAGGTCTCGGGAGGCAAGGTTCTCCCAGGACAAGGTGCGAAGCGCCACCGGTATGTGATTCTCCAGGTCTACAGCAGTGTTCAGTTGAGATCAAGATACTGACCTAGTGAGCAGGAAAATTATGAAGGACACAATTCGCGGCATTAGTACGTGTGCTGGATCGCCCAAAGTCTTACAGACGTGTGGGTACAATGGCTAACACTATCTTTTCACATAGCCAAGCCCGCTATCCGGTGAGTTTGATTTCTCTTTTCATTTTTGAGGGTTCGACTTCATGCCTGTGTTCTCTGATTTCTTAGGTCTGAGTATAGGAGCTTCTGCACTTAGTGTTGAGGATCAGGAAGGAGCGAGAGTGGGCCTTAGGACGCTCCTGCGTTGTGCGCGCTTCCTTCTTCCCACATCTCTCCCTCAGCGCATGCTCTCGATAGCCTACCTACTTCTTCAAAGCGGAATCAAAAGCTAACCTTCATCCTCCAGTCGTCTCGCTCGCCGCGGTGGTGTCAAGCGTATCTCGGCTATGATATACGACGATGCACGCTCCGCTCTGAAGGATCGATTGACGGGTGTACGTGTGGAACCACGAACATTCTTCAAGGCCATCCAGACTAATGCAATTTCAGATCATCCGTGATTGCATTACATACGTCGAGTACCGCGGTGCCAAGACTATCACCATCCACGACGTAAGTTCCAACTTCCTGGCCTCCGCCTGCGCTTCTTGCCAGATGCACCCCTTGTGGGCCTATCGCAAACTCATGCTAAAACGTTTCCAGGTCATCCACTCCCTCCGACGTCTCGGGGCACCAATCTACGGCTTCGATCCGGAGACGTATGACCCTAGAAAGCGCAAGGGCGCCGGCCAGTAAGGCAACCAACATGTTGTCCTTTTAACTACTACAGAGATATTCCTACTGGGTTACGGCACATCACCATGAACGCGTAAAGCTTTTCCGTGGGAATGATCGACATCCGCGTCTACTGTCTAGTTGACGAATAGAGAGAGCGAATCTTTAGCTTCTCGAGACGCGTTTGGTCATCCGTTGAGAATGGAAATAGGCGCCGGCATTATGGGACAAGAGACTGCCACTACTGTTTTTCAAGCCTGTTTTAACACGGCTGCTACAGCACACATTTGTCATAGGATACACTTGTGTCGAGGGGGATACGCGGACAGACGCTGTTCGGGATGACTTTGGTCTCCGGAAGCTCCCATTCAACGGATTGCTGAGGGACCAGCTGAGGGCGTATGAACATCATGGGTTGGATCGACATGGGCTCACCTCACAATAAGTCCACTACTCGCCAGAGTGCCTGTTGGCTGCGTTCGGCGTTCATCGGACATCAGAGGCGATGATGACGAGCAGGTTGCTAGACTGCCGCAGGGGGAAGCCGCGTCGAGAAGATTAGCATAAACAACAAAATGAACATGTCGCCATCACACAAAACAGTGAATCAAGAAGGTTTCAAGTGGCATGCCAAACGAAGGGATTTTGATTAGGCAGAGATGCAAGGATCAGACATTTTTGATGTCTTTGCTGGTCCCGCACCTCTGGGCCGGTCTCATAGTGAAGGTCCACCAGAGACTCAACCTTACTTGTCTCTCGTTCTATGTAAACCGCCAACGACTGTGAAATCAAAACGAGGGGTATCCAGAAAGTAAAAGTATTTTGAAAAAAAAAAAAAAAAAAAAAGAAGGGAAAACAATGAAGACCCTGCAGCTATCATCGTTCGTCTGTGCGATGTGCCTCGCAGTTTCTTGAGGGTATAAGATGACCTAAGTCTGATTTCAATCCAGTACCACCCACCGCCCCCACGCTATCCCACGCACTTCACTTCGTCTCAATAGATAGACATCAACATTCTTTCTTCTTCTTTGTGTCCAATAAAAGGGTTTTAAGAAGTAACGTTAGACCAGGGCCCCATACGAGCTAGATCTGAAGCGGATTCCGCAGAGGCAAGGCTGTTTCACCTCTTCTTCTTGAGCATGTCCCTCTCGGCCAGCACGCCGTCGAGCGTCTTGGCCGCCCAGCGCTCGCGCTTGCGGAAGGTGCCGTTGAAGAACTCGGGCAGGACCATCTGGCTGTTGGCGTGCTCCATGGCGAAACCGACCTCGGCGTCCTTGCCGCAGCGCTCGCGGGTGATGCGCACGGCCTCGTGGAGCAGGTCGGTGCCGACGCCCTTGCCGCGGTAGCGCAGCTTGGTCGTCCACGCGCGGATGAGGCCCTTGCCGCCGCGGAAGCTGCTGGCCTTGTTGCGGCGCCGGCCGCCGCCGCTGCCGGCGGGGACGGCGATGGGGACGGCGGGCTCGAGGCGCAGGACGAGGGCGCCGACGATCTCGGAGCCGAAGCGGGTGCCGAGGACGAGGTCCTCCTCGGTGGGGGAGGTGGCGTCCGGGACGGGGCGGATGAAGGACCAGGAGACGGCCTCGGCGAGGGGGATGTAGCCGGACGTGACGTAGCGGATGGCGAGGAGGTAGGTCATGAGGACGCCGGAGAGGAGGGTGAGAGTGGTGCCGAGGTCCTGCTTGGCGTACTGGTAGGCGACGCCGAGGGCGAGAGAGAGGCCGGCGAGGGGCACGGGGTGGAAGACGAGGGCGAAGGAGGCCTGTTGGCGCTGCTGGGCGATCGAGTCTGCGATGAGGTGCAGGGCGGCGGCCTTGTCGTCGCGGGAGGAGAGGACCTCGAGCGAGAGGGGCGGGATGTCGTCGAGGGGGTCGAGGGTTTGGGAGTTTGCGAGGGGGGAGGGGGCGGCAGGGCGGTGGTGGGAGGCGCCGCTGGTTGTTGGCTGGAGCACGGGGGTGCTCGTGTTTGAAGACATTGCTGAGGGGTTGAGGACCAGGTTTGCGCGGAGGAAGGTGAAGAAGGCTGGTGGTATTTGTTAGTCTTTATGTGGTTGCGTGAGGTGGTGTGGTGTTGCACAAAGCAGTGTGAGGTGAGGTTTTGAGTGAGAAGTGAGAGACAAGATGGAAAAGGTTGTTGAGATTTCAGATGAGATTGGTTTTTGTAGACTGGTCTGGATCTCGCGAGCCGAGGATCCGTGGCCTTTTGGATCCGTCTACTAGGTGCTTGCAAATATTGACCCCACACACGAGCAGTAGTCAAGCAAGTGTTGCATGCGGTTGCTTACAATACGAGTTGACGATTTGCCAGGGTTGGTGAATTCGAGGTGTTGATGAGATGCGGGCGAAGCGATGAAGTGCCAAGACGGAGGGGGGAGAGATGTCGTTGAAGAAGAGTAGCCAAGACAAAAGAAAACCAAGAACTGGAAAAGAGCCTCAAAAATTGCAACGAGGCAGACAAGAAGGGAGAAAAAAGAAAGAAAGAAACCCTGTCTCTTACCTGCGCTTGTTTTGATGGCCGGGACAGCGTGGTTGAAAGTGTTCAGGCCGTTGTGAGCGTGCCAGTTGCTCACATTGAGCTCCCGGATGCCCATGTGGTGAGGGGACTCCATCTTATTGGTCGACGCTCTTCAGTGTGCAAGGGAGTGCCGCGCTGGGCTTCGGGGTGGCGGACAGCTGGCGGCAGACGATAAGCGCGGCGTCTGGGTTCTAAGCAGAGCGGAACATTCAACCCAATCCAAAGACGGATGCTGGTCTCGTGACGTGGGCGTTCTGGACGGCGTTGACGACGAATTGAGACGAGGGCCTCGTAGTTTGTCTTTTCGTTTACGGTAAGAGGGGCCGGATTATGGATCGAGAAATGGGGTGAGAGAAGGGAAACTGTCCCGTCTAAATAGCCCTATGTGCGTATGCGCCGTTGGAAAAGAAGAAAAGGCCCCTTTCCTGGATTCCTTTGGTTCGTTGGTTGAGGGGGTGGCTGGCGGTTAAGAAAAAGGGTGTTGGTTCGTGTATTGCGGTTCATGCGGTTGGTATTAATTATCACCAGGTAAGGTATGGTGAGGTAGGGGTCCGTTGGGGGGCTCCCTCGTTCTTTTTTTTTTTTTTTTTTTTCGACTCGCTCGGGGAGTTTTGTGGTGTGTGTGGTTGGTATTTCTGCTGGGAACTGACTTGCACGGACAGAAAATCTTATCGCCTGCGCACGCCGTCGTCGGGACACCCGTCCGAAGTGGCTGGACCGGGGTGATGAAGGGAGGGAGGCAGGCAGATGGATGGATGGTCTAAACAAGAAGGCTTGCTTGGGGAAAAGACGAAGCAAAGTGGGAACCGAAGAAGATTAAATAACGTGTTTGCCGTTTTTTCAATCTTCTCTCGAACCAGCCCAGGTTGCTTTCCGGGGGGAGTGGGAAAGGTAAGAAGAAAAAGAAGTGAAAAAAAAGGTGTAATAAAACGAAATAAGGCTTTGGTTGGACCTAAAATCTGCAGAAGAAAGCAAATTTTTTGAAGGGT